AGAGAGAGAGAGAGAGAGAGAGAGAGAGAGAGAAAACGATAACTCACAAAAATGAAAACCCTAATGACCATGAGACGGAGATAATAGTAATGAAGTTACCCTAAATCTAAGAGTTATTTTTAGACTTGTTAACCAAAATGTCTGTAGTTTTCAGATATAACATTACAAAGACAAGGATATAAATCAATAAAGATGTTGTGTTTTGTGCTCGTTAAATCAACGATAGGGGACAAGAGTGCACAATGGATTAATGTTCTGTGATTTTTATTTCTGAATTTTTTCAAAGCTCCAATTCTGACTTTATTCCATATGCTTTATTGGCAATAAAACATACCCCTCCCTACCACCCCACCCCAAAGCCCAGCCCAATTCACTGTCTCCGAGTAAACACAATCGAACATGTCCTGTTTATTAGGCTTGTTAAGATCTAGCAGAGCTCATTACTGAAGCTATCTGCAATATGAAGAACTGAAAAATTGAGGAGAGTTCCATATAATTTACAAGCACAAATTACCCCCCCCCCACCACCACTTTTCCCCTTAAAGCACAGACAGAAAATTTAAAAAATAGTGTCCACTTACTTTTTTTTAAAACGAAGAACTGATGAAAAAATTAATTAAGATAAATATTCAATAGTCAAAACCTCCACAAAATCTCGCCAAAAACCTGTCGAATGTATCGAGAAAAAGACGACAAGCAGGCAAAATATGAACAAAATCAAAGTTTCGACTTCATCAGCTGCGACAACTTTGACTTGTAAAGTATGGCGTTGTTTCGACGCCCTTTGGACACTGCATGTTTATTTAAGAGGCCAGTACTGTGAATCTAGGGTGCCCATCTCCGATAGAATGTAGCTAAGTAGGTGGAAAGCCTTGAAAACTCACTCTCGAAACATTTCAAGCTCCCACACTACGGCCAATCAGCAATTCAAACCGGAGTCATTCGCAACAAACAAGCAAACAGAACAAGCACACAGACACACACAGACATACACACACGCATAGACAGACACACACACACACACACACACACACACAGACACACACACACACACACATAGACAGACACACGCTTCATAACAACTGAGCTAGGAGCACAATTTCGTCGTAATCTGAACCCTCAGAAATATATACAATTTAATAACATCACATTAGAACAAATAATAACATGTCAGTATCACATATAAATTGTAATGTTGACTATAATATCGAACCATTCAAATCATACAACATTGATAATATTGATATTGACAAGTTTTCGACAATTGTACATTTTACGTTTTGAGCACAAATCGCGAACAATTGCTTTGTTGAAGGCAGACAGGTAGGTAGAATGTGGTGGTGTGAGCTACAAGCGTTCCGCGGCAGGTTTAAAAAATGCAAATGTGAGGCAGCGTGGTGGAATCAGGCTCCCGTCAAAATAATCAAAGTGAAGAAACTTGCATTTTTCAACAGGTTTGTGAATTTTTTTCAAATTTTTGTTTTTTTGGCTCAACACCTTTCATGCCCATTAAAGAACTCATTTCTGTATGGGTTTTTCTGAAAATCGTTGATTAAAGGCACTAAAAATGTAAATTTTCAGTTACCACGGACTCTCCAGCTAAGGAAATAACTAATCTTTGGCGGCCATTTTCTAACTAATCTTATCTCTGAAAACAGATGACCCCCACCCCTTTCATTCGCAAATATCTCGACTTGTATTCAATATAAATGGATATTTTTTTCACCCAATTAAAGACAAATGAACAAGCCTTAAGATGATACCAATAACTCTACATGCCCAAAAATTGACGAGAGCCTGATTCCACCACGCTGCCTCACAAATACAGAGTCAAAATGATCTATCTACAATCCTAAAGAATAGCAGCAGATAGCACTATTTTGACTCCGAAGTCGCGTGAATAATGTGACGCTGCCCATGACTCACAACACTCAAATATTTATATATTTCCCCCAAATAACCACACACATACAAATATTTATATTCTTCCTCCAAATAATCACACACATACAAATATTTATATTCTTCCTCCAAATAATCACACACATACAAATATTTATATTCTTCCTCCAAATAATCACACACA